TGCACATTCTGACTGCAAACAAATGGCGTCTGCAGTCGAGACAGCTATTTTGAAGTGTCAACTTCAGCGGGTGCTGATAGTTGTTCTATGAAAGAAACCGCTCTGTACTACTTTCGTTATTTCGGTCATGACTTGTGAATGTTTTCCTATAATCTACCTCGCTGTGCTTGCCCTCCAAAAAGGAGTCCAAGGGATCAAAAATTTCTTCAGTTGGAGAAGCGGAGAGATATGATGATCCTAGGACAGAAATCAGTGGTACGCATGCTGCACAATCTGTCCGTCCAAAGGCTGCGGTCCATGATAACAAAAAGTGTACAGCGAAACAGACAAATTACTGGTGAGGTAGTGATCGTGAAATGAGCTCGGACAGTTATCAGGACTCATCGAAATACATCTTCCAAGAGACCAATCAGTAGACGGAGAAGGGAAATTGGATTGGCTGAATGCCGCTGATAGGGAAAAGACAGTTTTCCTGACTACATTCATTTTCTTTTTCCTTTTTTTCCAATTATTTTTATAAACTTTGAATTTCCGAGTTTTGGTACCGGTGAACCTCAGTCCACACTACCGGCTATAGTTGATCCTGAACTTTCAGGCTATTTGTTAAGGTATTTGCTGGTTGGGGCCGAAATTGTACAGATAAGTTGTCCACAGACATTGGGTGAAGCCAAATATATATCCAGACCTAGGGTCCTTTCTATTTTGGTTCCGGGATAGTAGTACTCTCGTGGGAACGTTCTGCCGATCCTCTTTGGAATTGGGATGGGTACCGCAGTCTGGGCATATTCGTGTCGTACTCACTAGGACGTTTTGTTTTCTGCTCGTGAACTATTCTACCACGAGTTCTGTGATTCATTGTCTAATCTAGTATGGTCATATTGCAACAATCGGAAAGTTAACTGGCCTATCGATGCCGATTGCACGACGAAAACCGGCTCATGGCAGACCGACAAATGTGATATTTATCCGCACGTTTTCTGACTAAAGTTGACTGTATCCACAGATCATCTCAGTCACACGGCACTTTGCACTTATCATAGGGGTTGCTGTCTGAGTTCGCACTATTGGATTACAAATAAATCCCAAGTGGGATTTATCTGGCCTTTGCCTTCACCTTGCGTTTATCCGTAAAACATTTTCATGTTCGTTTTCGGGCGTAGCTGCGCCACATGGTCAAATGTGGGATCAGTTAAGAAAAAGATCGCGACTGGAGCCCTGGTGCCAGTTGCTCACTGTATCGATTTATGACTCTTTCCTTTTAAAATGGCACAACGGCCAACCGATTTTGCAATCAACGATCAATTGATAAAAAGGTCTGTAAAGCAATCAGAGGATGACTTGAAACAACTAACAGAATGAGGCAAACAAATAACCTATGCTCATTCGGAATGAGCTAAACAAGAAACAGTAGCCATTTGACATAGCCCCATTTCAATGTGTGTCATCAATTTTTGTTCTCACCTCCCCACAACAGAATTACAAATCATCTCTCAAACACTCCAAAGACCGAAATGAACTGGAAACTGGAGAGCCTAAGCATGTCACGATTCTCACGGAAGAGGATATATTGCCGAGAACCGATCGAATTCTAAGCGCTGACCCAACAATGCTCAAATCGATACTAAAAACATCTCTCGGATTGGACCAGGATGCGGAGACCATAGATATACCTATCAGTCTGGAAGATGAACGAAGGTGAGCGTCGAACGCATGATTTGTGCATTTCAACGATAATCCATCTCTCCCCCCTTCCCACGCCTCGTCCTTCGTGCGCTCAGAGTCTCCTCAGTCACGCTGGAGATGCTGATGGAACGGGAAGAGATTGATATACATCCGTACGGTCGAGGAGGAATATACGAGGGATTATTGTACAAACGAAGGGAGAATGAAAAACTGAACATTATTGCTATCGTCATCTGGATCATTTTTTCCAGTTCCGTCGTAATGATCTCATTGGCTGTGGTGTTTGTGGCAGGTGTGTGTGCGTGAAATTTTTCACAGTTCTACACTTTCTTTCTCTCCACACAGAACTATCCTATTACCTGCATTCGGAAGAGACAGCGGAAGATCGAGAAGCCTATTGTGCTTTCTTCAAAACGTGCAAAGAAACCTCGAGCGGCTCCTGAATGCGAGGGATTCAACTCTTACTGATTAGTCGCATTGATTCGTCTGAACACACACACGCATAAACAAGCTTCAATTAAGTTGTTCGAATTGGAAATAATACTGATTCGACAGTTCAGAAGGCAAAGTTGACCATGTTACGAACGTTATTGATTGACAGTGCGATTTGCTACTCAATAATCATGAACCGTTCATTAGTTTTTTAAAATTTTATTTCTATACTATTGACCACGTAACCCTGGGCCGATTAGAAAATGCGAGCAGATTGGTGTGAAATCAAAAAGATAAAATTTGATCAGTCACATTGAATATTACTTTGAACAGCAGGTTTGATTGGAACGCGGTTGACACGACGTTACGCAGAGGTCGGGCTTGCCAAAGCGGCGTCCGTCGGATTTGGATTGGAGAGAGAGGTGGTATACGTGAGCATATGCTGATAGCCTCCGGAGATGTGCGGTTCCGAATATTTTGAGGATTCAACAAGCGGGTACTGGGATAGATCAGCAACCAGTATTGAATAGAAACAAGTGTTCAACAGAAAATGTGCCCAACGAAAGTTGGCATAATTTATTTCCGGCAGTTTAACCTATTGAAGAACAATGTCTTCTTCATTTCGGATTGAAAAATAAGCTACTTGCAATGAGGACTGACCAAGACCGGAAGAACTTCAATGCGAAATGCCGCCCGTGTTGCTTCATTCCCGATTCTGTTTTCAAGGGCACAACACTGTTAATATGCAACGTCTATGTAGTCACACTACGAGAATTAGAGATCGCTAGCAATTGGTTACCTAAAGACCTCAGGGCCACGGAGCAGTCATAGAGGGGGAGGAGGGGGCTGCTAAAAGAGCACCATTTAAATGAAAGAAGTAACTGATTGATACAATGAATTGCTTTTGATTTGGGCCCCATCATTCTTTGTTTGTAATTGTTCCAACAAAACCTGACAATTGCAAATCATTTAGCTATCAGCGGATTTTTAAATTTTCAAATTAGAGGGTCTGAAACGTTGTGACAATAATGCATTTCATTGTCACCGAGTAACTTTCAACAAAGATAGAAAAATCACAACTAACCGGCGAAAAGAATGTATTTCTTCCAATGTGATGTATACAGGCGGTGAGAAATGGAGATCATTTTCGTTCTGGGATAAAAACGAAGCAGTTATGCGTCAGAATAAATAAGACAGTACTGGGATGGTTAAAATAATATGTGCAGTTGTAAAAAAATGAGAAGTAGAACGGAAAACGTTAACGATGCGTTAAAAGATTCGAAATTCATTCGGGGCAAGAGGAAAACGTTGATTCCGGTTCATCACAGTTCAATTTGGGTTCTAAATTCTTCATGTAAGGGACCTTTCCAATGCGCTGTACAATCAGAAAGTAAGGGGAAAAAAACTCATCGAATTTGCACCAAGAAGAAAAGGATTTTAATGATACAGGAATTCTCCGAATTTGACTCACAGTTACTTATGAGTAGTGTGTATGGGATGATTGATATTGATAGATTTGACCTGACTATCCTTCGAAATTCAGCTTCACGAACAATCCTCAGTTCATCGATTCCATCACACACTCAGAAGTACTAGACTCGAGTTTTGCTCTTATTAGAGCTCATCCTTAGTGCACATCCACCGTCTGGTCCGGGATTCGAACTCCGGACCCATCACATGGAAGGTGTGTTACCACTGTGCCAATCAGCTCATGTCATGGCTGAACCAAACTGCCAATTCATGTTTGTTCAGGTGTTGTCTTCAGTGATAGTCAGTCAGTTCATGTGGCCCAACAGCAACGAAGGGAGACACAGATGAAAACTTTATTTATACTACTGATGAACTCTAATAAGAGCGAAACCCGAGTCTAGTTCTTCTGAGTATAAGGTTGAATCGATCAACTATGGATTGAAGGACTGAAGGTGAAGTCCTAAGGATAGTCAGTCAAATCAATCGATATATAAATTATCAATCGATCATTCACTCACTCTTCCGAGTAATAAGCCGAGCAGTCAGTCAGTTGATTGATCGATTAATCAATAATTTAATGTATATGTCAGTCACACTAATAATTTGTATTGTCAATACTCACATGTGCTGGTCGGAACCAGGAGGCAAGATGTAACAAGAATCGATGAATTTGGGCCAGGAAGCACAAAGTGAAGCCATAGGCACCACCAATTTCAGTGTAGTATCTAGAAACAAGTATTATAAAAAACAATGCGCAATCGTCAAGAGTAACAAATAAGTAAAACATAGAAACATGATACATAGTTTCGAATACGGTTACAAAATTACCATGCATCCGTTACAGAAGACACCTCAAGATGATAAAAAACAACCAAGAAACAAACGGGCCAACATGTTTGCTTAAAATCTCTATAGGATATGGGTGTTAACGGACTGATCCAACTCAAGCTGATACCCTAACCGCATACAGTGCAATCATACCACGTCGGAAAGACAAAACATCTCGACTTAATAAAATATTCGTATATGTAAGCCTGATCATCCTGTGCGTTAGTTGGACATAAAGTCAGTCCTGGAAACTCACTTTTTTAACATCGAGTTGAAATCAGCCCTCTCTCGGGCCATAGCGGAATAGTAGACCACCTCGGTGCGTTCTGCCACCTGCGGCCATGAATAGGCTGCACGAACCCACTCATGCATTTTCCGGACTCTCTGGTCTGACGATGCGATCACCGAGTCTTCTGTACAGGCTGAAACCTGCGACGAGAAAGTGAAGGAGCTAATTTAACCATATCGTTCACTAGTAAACAATTTGAAACGTTTAATGTTGTGATAAAAAAATAAACTGGGAATTATGGAATGTACAGGGTAAACGCTGTTGATGTCTTTGCATAAATCGCTTCCGGAGTGTGGGTGGAAGGAATCAATTCAGTGCTGTCATGTCTGAAGAAAACTGGATTGTGTCCAGTAGTGAATAAATGATGGTCTTGAAAACGCCTCAATCGCCCCAATACACAATAGCTGNNNNACCAGAAAGTATTTTCCCTTATAACATTCCAAACTGCTATCTATGAAGATACAATCTGAAGCGTGAAAGGTAGTGTTTTGGACCGGCCGATGCGTGCATCGATATAGGAAGGCAGCAACTGATGTAAAACTAATTTAATGACACACCAATCTTCGGGAAAAATCGAGCTTTCCAAACTCGAAATCGTTATTTTTTGTTTTTAGTAGCTAATTCAAATGCAAGACAGTATGGGACAATATTGTCCTCTCGTAAGACCTAAATGTTACTCTACGAATAGGCATAGACCAGAATGATAAAAACCAATATGGAGTGTCCAGAATGATACTCACCACATTCCCAGGATCATCAGTAGTGCACAAAGCATCTGATTGAGAACGTTGTTGTAAAATCTCAACCACTGCATTCGCAACACTCACAGCCATTTCCGGAGCACGAGCTGGAGCGAGCCGTACGTATTCACTGGGAAGAACCTCTGGGACTCCACCTACTGCAGTGCTTACCACCAGCAAGCTGTGATGATGAAATGAGATGGGTGGATGAGTTAGAGGCTGAATGGGGAACCCAGGCAAACAACAGAGTAATCAAAGAACGAATTAAAATTCCGAACGTGGTGAAACACCCAAATTAAAACGTAAGAGAAGTAGTGCGGTCGGTTCAGAGCCGTGAAGCCGCCTCGACTGATAACAGGCTGAACATTTCGATAGATCTTTTTAAAAATGGAGGGCAAATAAAGATAATGGGACGAACTGTTAAGCACCTTCATGATGCTATCATCACATTTTTCGTGCGATGCACAACAGGAGTGAACTACATAGCCACGAAGACCATCTTTTTAAACATGGTAACCGGCGATTCAAGCCCCGAAACCCGGGTTGACGACCCACATGGGGCTCCACTAGCATAGTCGTTGCATTGAGCTGAGCGACAACGAAGCTGCTTAAAACCCAAGTTGGGTGGTGGTGGCCGAGTTTTAACCTAGGACCCAAGCGTCCAAAAGACACCAATGACAAAGACGTAAACCGATTGATCATCCCAACCCATTCCAAGCCAATTCACATGCAGGAG